GATATTCCACCGGCGATCGAGCGCAAGCGGAGGCGCCATGCGCCCGCTGTCACCAGTGGGTAAGAGTGTCGGTATTCCACCGTAGAAGCCGCCTCCACACTTGTGGGGATATTGTTGCACTGACAAATGCCAGCGCTTGGAAACAATGCACTCCCATTCATGAAATGCAATGCTGTCTTGAGCGTTGCTCTGTTTTCATAACAAGATTTGACGTCGCGACAAATGTGGTCATCAACAACTCTGAAACAGCTGGTTTGTTCCGGTGTCCGTGTGACTTTGCCAAATGACCCCAAGGGCCGATTAGCGCCGCGAAACAATCATGCCAGTCCTTCAGTTGGGTGGTTGGCAACGTGCCGTTGCCTGAATATAAAGCGACGCGAGGACGAGGTTGCGTGGGAAGGTCATGAAGGGTCATCAATGATCACGACCGACATGGCTAGTATCGATTTACGGTGTGGTAAACTGCGCACGCAGATTTGACTTTGCGTCGTGGATGCAGACACCCCGTGAGAGACCTTCCTGTACGCACGTGACCATACGACCTGGGTGGCGGGAAACTGTCTGAGGTGTCTTGCTGTCTGGCGGGAAACTGTCTGAGATGTCTTACCGTCTGGCGGGAAACTGTCTGAGGTGTCTCACCGTCTGGAGGGTAACTGTCTGAGGTGTCTCACTGTCTGGCGGGAAACTGTCTGAGGTGTCTCACCGTCTGTAGGGTGACTGTCTGAGGTGTCTCATTGTCTGGCGAGAAACTGTCTAAGGTGTCTCACTGTCTCGCGGGAAACTGCCTGAGATGTGTCACTGTCTGAGGTGTCTCACCGTCTGGTGGGTAACTGTCTGAGGTGTCTCACCGTTTGGCGGAAAACTGTCTGAGGTGGCTCACTCTCTGGCGGGGAACTGTCTGATGTGTCTCATTGTCTGACGGGAAACTGTCTGAGGTGTCTCACTGTATGGCGGAACCATCTGAGTGTCTCACCGTCTGGCAAGAAGCTGTCTGAGGTGTCTCACTGTCTGACGGGAAACTGTTGAGGCGTCTCGCTATCTGACGGGAAACTGTTCCGGTACCTCACTGCCTGACGGGTAGCTGTCTTACCGTCTGATGGGCAACTGTCTCACTGTCCGGCGGGTAGCTGTCTGAGCTGTCTCACTGTCTGGCGTAAGCTGTCTGAGGTGCTCACTGTCTGGCGGGTAAATGTCCAACACTGGTGGCCGGCTGCGGCTTGCTGAGGGAGGCGCCTCGATGCGGGCAGAGCCGATCCCATGCCAGGCAGTATTTCGGCCCGCGAGCAGCCTGAGGCCGGAAGTTGTTTCGATTTGGAGGCTCTGGAATTGATTTAGGAAATGGGCTTCGCTTACTTTGAACAGACGGATCTGCCGGGAGTTGCGACCAATCAATTCTGCATGGAAACCGCAGGTCTTCGCAGCGGAAGAAACATCCTTGGGTTTCGTCAGCATCAAACATGGATACGTGTTTCAATCTAGCAGAGGAGCAGAAATTGCTCGAAATAATTGAATGTCAACAGTTGAATAATACATGTATAAAAGTTGCAGCCGGCATGGTTGCACGTGGCCATGACCGCAAATGCAACAACTCGCAAAAACTCGAACGTGACCACGATCTACTTTGAGCAGAGAATAACGCTTTCACTGGACGCACGTGTGCCATGACATATCAACTCCTACCACACAGCATCGCCTGAACCACCTCTCCCCCGCGCTGAGCGCCCCTCTACATGGGAAATGGCCTCGCCCTGCCGCGAAAGTGCTACAATGCCAACATCACGGCACATTTATTCAGCTCATGACCGGAAACGTCGGCCATTCATACGGGGCACAACAAAGCACAGAGCGACAGTTATGGGCAGGCTCGATCGCCCAACCCGCGCCGGTGTGCCCACTGGCGACCGCGTGCTGCGTGGCCAGAAACAGAGACATTGCCCCAAGGCGCCAGCTCCTTGCAGCAGCGTTGCAGCAGAAATGTCTAGGCCGCATTGGTTGAGTTTGCATTCCAGTTGCTGCGAGAGCGGACGTCACATGCTGTTGCTGCTGCAGCGATGACGGTTTGACGACGCTTGGCGTCGTGCCGCCAGGCGTGCTTCCGGTGCTCCGCACAGCCCCTAGACTGCTGTTTCAAAATGCAACCCGCGACGACAGAAATCCGGAAACTTCCATGAACAGAATCTACCGATGTCGATACCAATTACCCTTACATCCTCATATTTAATGGCAGTGACACGTCCAGAGAATCGAGTTAGATCAGGGATACCCCGCTCCGTGCCTGCCTGGTAACAGCAGAGGTGACTTTCGGAGGCTAACGGGACAAAGCGAGAGCGGCGCTGTTCTCCGGAAACTTGAGCGTCCGTCGTGCGGGCTTCTCAAATTTGTCACGCTACGAGCTATGTTGTGGGTGTGTGATTCGATCCCCCTCTCCACCTCGGGCCGGGTCCCGGCACTACGTGACGGATTGATCAGGGCGGCACGGCTCAGCCCGCTGTAAGGAGCGGGGTAGAGGTGCATGTGCTACGCGATGGACATGGATATAGCTGGAGTTTGATGGAAACACACAGTCAGGCAATGTAACGGATATAATGACGGACCAACTGACGGATCGGCAGACACAGTTTGTTATATGGTTATATCATGGATCTATGAATAAAATTTATGGTCTTTTATATTGCTGTATACTGATATCCGTGGGTTATATGCTTGTGGAGCGCATACAGGCCGCCACTTTGCGCTGATAATTGGCCGTAAATCAAGTGCTTGCTTGACAACTGATTGCATTCACTATTAAATGATAATCGATTGGCGCCATAGCGAACTCGTCAAGGCTCATTCTTTGCACCTTTACTAGAAGCGCAGGCCTCATGGACTCTGCTGTTAGATGCCTGCGCAGTTTGATCGTGAACTAATTTCCTCTCAGCTGGAAAAGGCATCACGCAGTTGTCCAATGTAAACGATGTAAATTCTTGGTTGGTTCACCGGACGGGTGACAGCAGTGCTCCATTCTAGACCGTGTTAAGCGTCCTGCACTGCGTCATGCTCTCATCCGGCCAGTGAGGAACGGAGGAAAGAGCGGCATCTCATGCGCTGTGGGCACGCCGTCGGGAGAACCAGATCAGGTACTTGCGCGCGCAGTGCCTACCATTATCTTAGTTATTCGATCTCGATTTGTCATCTCACTATTTTTTGCTATGGTGTTTAGATGAGCTACAGCACATTTCAGTAGCGAGTCATTGCTGTCGCAGCCCCCTCAATTGAAGGTCCAGTGTTCTCCCACAGAGCTACATCTCTCACCTTACAGATAAGCGTTCGCATATAATATTCTGTTGCTATATCTTTTTGCATGTCAGTTGCCTTTTCTGCATGTTTCTTATAATCCATCTTGTTTCTATGTTTGGCCTTTATTTCATTATTTCGACAAGGAGTAGTTGTACAAATTGTTGGCTTGCACTAGACACAGTGGCGCTCCTACGCACGGTAGACAGCAGCCTGGGTTGAGGCGATGGCAATCTGGGTAAGTGGTGCGCTGTCGGCACGTTTGAACTAGCGTCATGACGTCCTTCGGTAAAAAGGGCCTCTCGGTGCTGGGTTAACTACCTCAACGTCCAAGACGGCGGCAGCACACATGTGCGTGCGTGTTTCACGTACGAGGTGATGCACTCCACAATTGAGCAGGCACGTAGCCAGATCCTTCCTTTGGGGGGGGGGGGGGGAGAAGGATAGGATATCAAGTTTTTCCGCGCCCCTACGAAGTGGGACCGAACATCAGTCTACCCGTCCACTATCTAGTGTAAACCCCTTGGCCGCGAGGGAGGGTACTATGACCCACTTGCTCCCCCTCTCCCTACACACACTTGGCCATGCCCCGCAGCCGAGCGGCGACACCGATGCGGGACCGATCCACTGCACTTACCTGGTTGCTGCTACATGTGACATGCAAGATTGAAGTCAACTTGGCTTTCAAACCGTGCTGACCGAAGTCCGTGTCGGGGGTGGAACACGGCCGAGTGGATGGCGTCCTCGGCTCCCTCGTGGGGAGCCTGGGCTCGAGGCCCGGTTGCGCCACGGCCCCTGGACGCTAATATGGTCACTACAGCGGTTAGTCGGCGTTCCACAGAAGCGCACGACGACGTGCGTCGCGCTCGCCTAAACAATAGCTTTTTAATTTTTTTCGCTAAAAAAGAAGTCGGTGCCGGTTTTGGCAGTGCCGCACTTGACCTACTCCAATAATGAGCTCAGGCGCCCGCAATCACCGCAGCCGCTATCGTCCACCTCGGCCTGGCGTGTCCGGAGTGGTTCGTCTATCATAGTCACGGTTCAAGGGGTGTCTTGATGCTCGAGCATCGACCACCGCCAGAGTTCCGGGCACCTCGACGTCCAGCCGGGAGATGTGCCGGCGATAGGCCGCGGTACATAACGCAGACGCCAGCGCCGCCCGGCCATCCAGATACCCGAGAACGGCAGCCCAAGCACCACACGGTCTGGATTGTATTCAGATCGTAGCATTGCGAATCAAACACCGTCAGATCGTTTTTTAACGAAAAATATTTACACTAGCGCCGAAAAGCCATATCCAAGTCAAAACCATCCTCGGCAACCAGAAGCGATCCTCGCAGGTCCGAGCGCGGGTACTCACATTAGCTGGCAGGTCTCAGAGAGCGGCTGAAGCCCCCTCCTTCCCTCACCGCTGCGTGGATACCGAGCGGGCCCTTGCGCGCGCACGCACGCACGCACATGCATGCACGCGCGCACACACACACACACGCACACACACGCGAGCACACACACATACAGTACAGGGCACCACACAGCGGCGTGGGTCAGCACACACCCCTGGGAATACGCCGGTGAGCGGTGTCGGCCGTCCCGCGAGGATGGGCACGGCAGGCTACGCCGTCTCCCGCCCGGCTCCGGCGCCGGCGCCGGGCGGGAGCAGTGCCGGCCGCCGCCGCCGCCGCCGCGCCGAGGGCCGGCCCCCCAGCCACGTCAGGCCGGGCCAGGTCAGGCCAGGTCCTGCACGCGAACGGTGCGCCGGACGGCATTGTTGTAGCCTTCTTTGAAGTGGTACCAGACGTCGGTGCGCAGCAGGCGGCCGGCGTCCGACGCCTCCTCTGCAACACAAAGGGCCAGCGTCAGCTCGGAGCGACACCCTCCTCTAGAGGTCGCACAGCTGAGCAGAAGCTGCAGCTGCCGCACCGGGCAGACGTCCGCCGGGAGTAGCGGTCGATCATGCGGGGACACGGTTCCTTGTCGTGAGATGTGACGTCAGCTAGAAGGCAGCTGTGTGCTGTTTGAAACTCGATGAATTCCTCACAAACATGCTGGTCATGGAGATGCTTGGGTCGAGTTATCCTGAAGGCTGGTCTCGCTGGTCATTCCTTCGGAGAAGATGGGGTGAAGAAGTGGAGGCTGTATGTTCGAATGCTTATCACGGTCGTTTTTATATCCGAATATTGTAAATGACTTTCTAGCGTACATTTTGGCCTCCTATGTGACTTACATAGAGACGGGCAAGCTGCCCCGTGTTCTAATTTGAGCCATCGAGTACGTATTATACGCCACACTTTCTGGTGGCATCGCCTGCTATTTGATAACCTGGCGACGTAAAAAAACGCATACGTGGGCAGTCCTTAAAGCAATACGCTTCCGCAATGGAGATGTCAAATCCAACGCTGAAGATAACCAAAACATGCGTACATTTTCCCTCCGAAGCCAGCTGTGTTCAGTGCGTGACACGTGCGTAAATCACGCGTGCCCTCCCCCCAGTAGGTGAGTAGGTAAGTGGGTGAGGGTCGCCGCTACCGCGTGGCGGGCCAATGGCGGTGTTTCCGGAGCGGTTGGGTCGGCCATGTGATCAATATCACCATTGTGTGCTGTTAACGTGACCAGCGTGCCGGAGGCGTTGCTGCCGCGGCGACTCCGGCGTGTCGGTCACCCCGCAAGCATCGACGCTTCAGGTGGGGGGGGGGGGGGAGGAACAGTAGGTGGGGTGGGGTGGGGCGGAGTGGAAATACAAGCGAAGTGAACCGATAAGAGCGTGGTGGAATGTGCGTTTCAAGGTTTGGTCACTTATTGGTTTAAGTTACATCATGCATATATGTAAAAAGGCCTTAACCTCAATCTGTAAATCTTTACTTGGATCAGGAACCTTAGTGGGGGTACGCGGGATTTCGCATCGGAGAGGGCGTTATTATAAGCTTTTGGCGAAAGAAACCACTTGCGTAAGGGTATCTCAAACGCAACCACATTTCCCTGTTGGCTTCCACTAGGGAGTCGGAAACCACCAAACTCAACATCCAGCCATGTTACATGGCAGGAGACTCGCAGGCCCGTTGTCTTAGCTGAGCGTGGCCCCAACATATCTTGGCTTCACTTTACTTTCATGCCAATAAAAGGCGCAGCGCATTCTGGCCATCACACTTCGCGTGTATTGTGACCCCGTTTTTTTATCGTCGCAGCAAGTTATTCGTTTTCTCGCGCCAAATGTCATGCCAATACTGAACCAGATCGACTTGCAATCCCCATGTACCGCTGCGGAGGCTTCGGTGAATATCTCACTTGAATAGTGTGTGCCAAGATCCCCCTTCTAGAAATGAGATTTAGGGGTGTAAAGAAATATAGATTTCCGTGCCGCGCCGTAATTTTGAACGCTTACTTTTGACTACATATATCAAAATGTAGTTTCCTTGTTATATCTTGATGTTGTAGTAGGACTTCCCAGCGCTATTAATACACGTAATGGTCCTGAATTTGACCAGAGAACTTTGTTTAAAATATGTTCCAAGGGTGGCACATTCCTTCTCACAGCTTCATAGCATTTGTCGTTGAATGAAAATGCTGAAATAAATTTATCACCCGGGAGGGGCCGTCCATAATTCACGTTGCGAATTTTTCACACTTTCTCAACCTCTTCTCTTTACGCACTGGTTACGCTGACCGAAAACACTCCTTTCCCTGGATATAATGTGTTAATCGTTACGTACCGGGAAGACATCTTCCGTTTGGTCCAAGACTGAGTGAAGTTTCGGTTGTACTTTAGCAGCCCCGCCCGTTTCCCATCCATGCGCAACATGCACAATCAATAAATGGGCGTCCCCCACGCCCTCCAGCGGAGGCGGTTGCCAAGCTGCACCGCATGACCCAGTCAACTTCACAGCGGGAGCTAGTTTGGTCAGCTCCGCTCTTTGAAACTGCGACCAAAACTGCGACTCCAGGCGGACAGGTTTTGGTCTGGTATTACCGGCACCAGTCGCGACGGTGAGCCGGTGAGAATCGATCAGCAAATCAGATATGATTACCAGACATCATAAGGCAGGCATCATTCCGGTCTGATGGGCTGCAGTGACTTACAGCACTGGACAGCGGTATTTCGTCCGACCAGTCCGGCGCTTCAAATCCGCCTCCTCGTTTGTATGCGCGGATAATTACCTTTGTCGCGGGAGTTCAAAGCCGACTCAGCACACACAACAGCGGGCTCATTGTGCTGCTGTCGGTTATTCTCATCAACAACGCGTACACATGTCAGACCTGAGCACCTGTCGACGGTCAGAAAAACGCAACAGGAGGACACACGACGAAAGACGCGATAGATGAAAGCTTGCCAACTCCGAAATCGCTCGCATAAAACATATCAGAATACGCACGCACCCTGCCCTCGCCATGACAGCGATCTTCTACATCGTGCCGTGATCTAGATGTCGTCTTTTTAGGTTAGATCCCGGGGTAAGGACCATCATGGTGAGCCTAAGCCCTCGTTGGGCGGTGGTCAGCTGGCCACTTCCAGACGGACTTTTCAGAACCATGCAAGAAAGATAATGGACGACACCATGCGATGTTATTCAGGTAGGTGCTGCATGCGTTGCTTGTTGTTACACATGTTTTCGTAAATTACGGATGCTGCACATTTGCCAAATATTAATCCCCAGGTCAGTGGAGTCACCGTCACTGAGCTATGACGCAAGTGAGGGATTGCGGGTCGATTTTGAGCCGATTATAGTTTTATGGAAGTGCATGGTTTATGGTCAAGGAAAACAGCGGAAAATGGTGGTGCCCTGACAGACAGGTCTCTACTGATATGCAACAATGCCTAACAAAGAGGTTTTTTACGTTGAGCCCATGGCTTAAACGACGCTTAAAGGGAGTGCTGCGCGTTTCTATTGGGTTTTGAACTGAAATAGTCATCTTAAAGATCATCTGATGTAGTTCTCAGCCCTGCCCTTCTTAAGACCTAACCCCCCCCCCCCCCCCCACACACACACACAGTTTCTGAGTGGTGCACCCTCGAAGATTGTAACCATTTCGCGGAGACTATTTCAAGGTCATCTGGGCGTCCACACCATAATAACGTCACTAAAATACTGTCATGTCTTTAGCCATGCGGCGATCAAGGCCAAGACGAATGGAATTGTCGAGTTGTTCATATCTGGCGTTTGTGGAACACGACTTCCAGATGCAAGCGTCGCCAATCGGCTCTCAATCAATGTCGTGCAAGGCACGATGCCGTAAACAAACAACGACGTATTAAGGAACATGTCTACTAGAAAGAAAAATTGTTGCCTAAAGCAGTTGTTTCTAATGACAAACATATCAACAGCTCTAAGTGAGCTCACTTTCACGATATCTGACACTTGCTTCAACATATTGAAATGTGGAAGATTTCCTTGAAACGAGCTCCGATCGTATCTACCGATTGTTTACCAGAGCACCATGTTAACATTCCACATATTCAAAAGAGGACCTTGAGTCAATTTCGGCAACTGCTATCTTAGGCCCCTAACACGCGCTTAGGGTGGGGGTCAAATTGACCGCTCCCCCCCCCCCCCTGAAGGTTTTGCTACCGAAGTCGGTCAGTTGACCAGCGAAAAGGGTTACCTGTCCGTGAACAAAGCAGCATTATGTTTCAAAACATAATTAATGTTTGTAACCCACATGTCAGTCGACACAGGCGTCCTGCCCATGTAACATATGCGTGCATACATTCCACGAGCTCACGACGGACCGCGCCCACCCGGGCCGGAGCAGACGAACCCCCACCGACCCCGTCAACACGCTGGCGGCTTACTGGGCCGTGAGCAGAGCCGCGCGCCGCAACTAACGCCGCCGAAGTGGCAGGCGGCCGCGGGCCCACGAGCCTGCGCCAATACGGACGGCCAACAAGAGCCAATGAGCCGGCCCCACCGCTTCGGCGATATTGGCAGCCCCGTGCGGCGCAGCGGAGCGGACGGGGTTTATGCTGGTTAGGGTGAAAAACAGCCGAAAATGAAGCCCGATCGCTGTGCGCGCGGTCCGCAGTCGTTCGTACGCCGTCAGTTCAGCGTAACGTTCGCTGCAGTCTACTGCCAGACCGCTTGCCCGACAGCCGGGTGGACGTGCACTGCGGTGTTTACTCGGTTTTTACCGTGTGTTTACTCGGTAGCTGCCTAAATGCAGCACGCGCTTTAACTTTAGGCGACTGCGCACACGCATTATTTCCCTCCGGTGTCACGCTGGCAGGAGGCCTGTCAGGCGGCCCGAATTCAGGCCGGTCAATGAGCCAGCCGTGGTGGCCAGGTGGGGTAAAGAGCCAGGCCGAGCCGCCAGGCATGACTGGCGCCCGCCTCAGCTCTGGTCAGTGCTGACGGTGCCGGCAGTGAACGACCCAGCAATCCTCGCACATGCGCAATTACACCGTCGTCGCTGATTCACGGCGTCAGCGTCGTGCGTGCAAACAGTGCACAGATTTAACTCGACGCGACGTCCTAAAAGGGCCTCCGCGTCAACTGCGGCAATTGCAGCCTTTTTTGTCGGAGGCAATCATGTCCATACCCGGTTTCATGACGCACCCCGGGCTTCCGTATTCACAACACGGATCTGGCGGCGCCGAGTGAGGGCCGCTGTCAGCCGACGCCAGAGCACCGGCCGCACCAGCCGCCTGGTCGCCGCCGCCAGCTGCGCCCGAGGGCGGGGCCAATTACGGTCCGCCCGCTGCTGACACGGGCCGCACGTGCCCGCCCCCCGCCCCGCGCTCCAGCAGGCCACCACAGGCGCCGGCCTGCCGTCCGCACCGGCGAACGCGGCCTGGCGGCGGGGCGAGCCGCTCCGTGCAGGACGCGGCGCGGCTGGCGGCCGGTCGCGTTGCGTGGGCCGGATCGGGTCTCAGCCTCCCCTCGCCGCTCAATACACCGTGCACTCCCGCCACCAATTCCGACGCCGGATGGCCCATATACTCCGGAACTAGTCAATATACCACGGCCAGCATGCACTGCATGCCTATTCGGGCAGATTGAAGGGTTCTTTCGAATGGGGCCCAGCTCCAGAGCGACCGCGCGTTTGAGCCCGGATGCCTCGTCGGGCCTGTCATCACCTGTGGCGGATCGGCCGCCGAGGATGGAGGGCCGCCGCAGCGTGGGCCGGCTCCGGTCGGCGGCTCCAGCCACGCCCGCACGCCTCGCCCGCGCTCACTGCGACGCGGTGCCGCTGGCCGGATCGGGCGCGGCCGACACGTGCGGGTCGCTGCGCCCCGTCGGGTACGTGCGCCACAGGGGCGGACGGCGGGCCGTGGGAGCGGCCCGGCCGGCCGCCGCTGCCCGCCCACCGGCCGGGCCGACGCCTGCTGGCCTCTCACCTTCGTCGGGGGTCCGCTGCGGAGCAGCTCGCGGCTGCAGAACCCGGCCGAAGAAGTCTCGCGGCGCCTGCGGCAGGGGCAGCGGTGAGCGGCGTAGTGGGCGGCGGCCGGCGGCGGTGCGCGGGCGCCGTGCTTCGGCGGTAGCGAAGTTGGCGGCGGTGGAAAAGATGCGCCGCACCCCGCCGGGTCGACGGGGTGCGGCACATCCATCTGGGAGGCCGCCGTCCAGACGGAGTTCTGCCGGCGCTCGGACACCCTCGGGGTTTGGTCCGGACAGGTCACGCGGCCGGCCCGGCACCCGCTCAGGCCAAAGAAAGGGGGGGGGGAGGCGGACGTCAGCGTATCGATGCCGCGAGGGAACGTTGGTGATGATGGCAAACCGCGGAATAATTTAGCGGATCTCGGCGACCAGGTATCTCGAAAACGCTTTGCTGTCGAAGGCGAATTCAAATGTCAGAAAACACAGAACAAGCAATTTTTGCATCGCTGATTATCATTAAAAAATTGTTTCAACATATCAGTTCATGAAATGACACACAAGGTGTCGATCTAAACACGTTTGCAAGGCATAAAGTGCTGGTTTAACTTCCATTGGTACAAGGCGATGCTGCTTATTGGCGCTTGTATAAGGCATAAACCATTGCCACAAAGTATTTGTTTCGGCGGGATGCAACGAGCAAATGGGAGACCGCCGGCACAGACTCACACCGGTCGTCGTCATCGTGTCGTCAGTGGTGCACGAAATGTCGTCAGTGACCGCTACCGTCATCCATGATCCTCGTCGTATCATCCACAGTCCTTACAGCGTCGTCCACGGTCCTTGTCACATCCCCCAAACACCCCAGCGTCCCGAAGGCCTCCGCGGTACCATCCAAGGTCCTGGCCGTGCCCGGCGCAGTTCTCACTACTGCATCCACATGCCGTAGTCATCACCATGCGACACCCGGTCATCGGCGTGCCGTTCATAGTCCCCAGTGTGTAATCCACAGTTGTAACCATCATCGGCGTGCCGTTCATAGTCCCCAGTGTGTAATCCACAGTTGTAACCATCATCGGCGTGCCGTTCATAGTCCCCAGTGTGTAATCCACAGTTGTAACCAGGCCGTCCGCGGTCCTCTCCGTGTTGTCAGCAGTCCTCATCGTGTCGTCTGCTGTTCTGTGTCGTCTGTGATTCTCACCGTGCCGTCCGCGGTCCCCAATGTCGTCAGAGGTCCTTAGTGTTGTCAGCGATCATCAGTGTCGTCAGTGGTCCTCAGTGTCATCAGCGGTCATCAGTGTCGTCAGCGGTCCTCGGTGTCGTCGGCGGTCCTCAGTGTGTCCGCGGTCTTCAGTACCGTCAGCGGTACCCAGTGTTGCCAGCGGTCCTCAGTGTCGTCAGCGGTTCTCAGTATCCCCAGCGGTCATCAGTATCGCCAGCGGTCCTCAATATCGTCAGCGGTTCTCAGTATCTCCAGCGGTCATCATTATCGTCAGCGGTCCTCAGTACCGTCAGTAGTTCTCAGTGTCGCTGGCGGCCCTCAATGTCGTCATTGGTTCTAAGTGTCGTCGGACATCACCACGAAATCCATCTTGACACCGCTGCGACACGCATGGTCCTAACCGGGTCGTCTGGGGGTTCACCACGTCACTGATAGCTCTCATCAACTCGCCTAAGGTCCCAGCCGTGCTGCCGCGCCGGGCACCGATAGTATGGTGATATCTCTGGGGTGCAGTGGTTAAACTGCGCGCCTGGGAGACCAAAGGTACTGGGTTCGATTCCCCGCGGCGCCCGCCCTTCCTACCCGGGTGAGGGGCAGGCGACGTCATACAGCCTCAGCAGCTGAGCGCGTCGAAAAGCCGCAACCGCAAACACGCTCGTGCCGTCGTCCGTTAGTGATAATTACCACGTTGCCGTTTAAACGCTTTGTCAGAATTTCTCACCTTGTCATGAAAGCGGTCATAATGTTGATATCCGCTAAGGTGTGAAGGTAAAGAACATGCCATGAATTTTGCACCATTTTGCAAACGTTAATTTTCGTTAGTAAGCAAAGTGGTGCACACTGCACTTGACCATGCATGACAAAATATAGAAGCTGCGAGGTTCTTTAGATGTCTTCGTTCTGCGGTAAGGACATAAATACATGTCTGGTATGGGAGACGTGGAAGTGACTTTTCCTGTGTTCAATTTGTCACGCATATTCCACATTCAAAACAAAGCAGTTGCTGTGCCCACCGTGTCATCAACGGTCCGTTCGGCGATCGGCCGGGGCTTCAGTTGTTGGCGCTGGTGGTTCGGCACGGGCGTGGGCGGCTCTGGCTTTTGTTGCTGCTGCTCGGCCTCACGGGCTGCCACCGCCTGCCGTGTCTCGGCGCCCACAACCGCCGCCTGGCGGACGCACGGGGAAACATCGCTGTTCAACGGAGCCAGATCCGTCTGTCGGCCTAACAGATTCCATCGTCCACTACATGACACTGTATGGGAGAAAACAGTATGCACAGACGATGATACCGAATTCCCCTGGGACGCAACTTCCTGGTTCCACAGCACATAACAATCACGAGCAAGCCAAGTGCGAGCATCATTCATCACGGTTGGACTATCGCATCACAATTCTAATCTCACGGAAGTGATTTCACGATTACTCATCCTGCCTGATCTTGCGCCAGCCAAAATCTTTCAGCGTTTCCTCATGGCAACAGTGTAGACGGCAGCAGAAGCCAACCCGAACCACTGAAAACCCGCTGCCATCTCTGGCTGGTAATCGAAAACAGAGTTTGTCATTCTTACCTCCGCCCGGCGCATTTTTTCCAGTTCGATCTCGCGAGCGACCAGCTGTTTGACCGTGTAGGGTACGGGCCTGTGTGGCCGCTGTTCGCCGAAATACACCAGCTCCTCCATATTCCTGCATGGTGTACATAGCTCATCAGGCATCGATATCAGCTAGAGTACAGTCTGTTCAGAATAAGTGGATGGGGAGCCCCTGAGCTGTCCCTGTACCATTAACAGCAGCCCAGGATGAGCAGCTGTTTCTTTGCTCTGCTATAAAGACATAAACGGATATCCATATACCCCCCCCCCCCCCGACGTAACCGAACAGAACGACAGAGGAATCTGGGACCAACATGCCATAAGTTCATCTCACATTGTCCATCCTACAAATCTTACACCTTACCTTGCGCACATATTACATCTCACCAGACCAAGTGGCAGTCAATACCGGAGAATGATGGTGCGCATTCGCACGCATCCAACCTACTGATGCCTTATGGACATTATTCCTAAGTAAATGACGTGATGAAAGAAACGCGTGCTATAGAGGATAGACAGGTCTTGTCATTCCTTCTCCTTGCTGTAACTCCTGACTCATTACGCATCCTTTTCAGCGCGCACTGGGATTACACGTCATTAGCGCCACGCTCCACTCACGGCTCCAGCAGGTACTGGTACTGGCCGTCGTCGTCGCGCTGCTGGCGGTAGGTGAGGTTGTAGGCGATCATCAGCTGCAGCACGCGGTGCAGTTCCTCCGTCTCCCGCACCGTGTGCAGCTGACTGTTCACCTGGTGCGGGGAGGGCAAGCCAGGCCTGTCAGTGCGTGCGTGAGTACACCGAAAATCCACTCGTCCGCGCACTTAACTAAGTAGTGGAAGCAGATGAGGGGGCGAAGCCGGTTTTGACTCCAGCTTCGCTTCCGCAAAGTCGCAGTTTTCCTCATTTACTTTCCACGGCTCGCCATGGCTTGGGATGCCGCTTCGCATAATTTTACAGGGTTGGCTTCGGCTTTAGCTTCGGCCTTGCGCTATTTTTAATAGCTGGCTTAGACCTCCACTTCGGCTTCGAGGAATTCTTGCATTGTGGCTTCAGCTTCATCTCCGAGAAATACTGAAACGGCGGCTTCTATTTTGTCACGGTGACTTCCACTGCAGTTACAAATTTACGGCACAGACACAGTCTTGTCCGTACTGTCCCCACCCCTTTCCCAAAGACCACACAAATTTTGAAGGCTGAGGCGCTTACATGATTGAGAGCCAAAGAACCGCCGATTGTTCTTCGGACCAATCAACACCGGACGACAATCGCAGAGCTGTCTGATTGAGAGCCAAAGACCCACCAATTATTCTTCGGACCAATCAACACCTGACGACAATGGCAGAGCTGTCTGATTGAGAGCCAAAGACCCGCCGATTATTCTGCGACCAATCACCATCACCGGACGAACAATGGCATGCTGTTGATTGAGAGCCCAAAGACCCGCCGATCATTCTTCGGAGACAATCAACCTACGACAATCGCAGAGCTGTCTGATTGAGAGCCAAAGACCCGCCGATTATTCTTCGGACCAATCAACACCGGACGACAATCGCAGAGCTGTCTGATTCAGAGCCAAAGACCCACCGATTATTCTTCGAACCAATCAACATCTGACAACAACTACAACTGACCAATCACCACCTCAGACAGACAATGTCTGAACAAAAGACCCCTTTATTCTTCGACAATCAACCGAAAGAAGGCGTCTGATCTGATGAGAGCCAAAGACCCGCCGATCATTCTTCGGACCAATCAACACGACCACGACCAACAAACCTCATCAGACAGAAGCTGTCTGATTGAGAGCCAAAGACCCCCTGATTATTCTTCGGACCAATCAACACCGAACGACCATCAAAATTTTCAATCGACAGAGACGGAGCGTCTGATTGAGAGCCAAAGACCCGCCGATCATTCTTCGGACCAATCAACACCGAACGACAATCGCAGAGCTGTCTGATTGAGAGCCAAAGACCCCTGATTATTCTTCGGACCAATCAACACCGAACGACAATCGCAGAGCTGTCTGATTGAGAGCCAAAGACCCCCTGATTATTCTTCGGACCAATCAACACCGAACGACAATCGCAGAGCTGTCTGAAACACTGCGTACACACTAACACGCATGACGAGAACGGATGGCTTTTTCCATCCATCCCCATCATCATGATCATTTTCTTCAACCATCTTCTTTTTCCATCTTCCACCCATGATGCGAACACGTCGTCTAAATTTCTCCCCAAAGCCCTGACCGTATTGGCTAATATCGCACAGATTTAGCAGACACGAAAATGATCCTGATACCGTAAAATGACATTGTATTTACATTCTGCTCGGGTTCGGCCTTGTGGTTCTACACCGAAGGATTCCACATCGGCATCGCGTTCCCAAAGTTTGAAGCCGCTGACTTTGACTTCAATGTCACGCGTAAAGAGTTCGAAGGCACCGGCTTAGATCCAACTCCACATTTTAAAGATACGAAGGCGCTGGCTCCGGCTTCAGCTCTGCAGTTTGAAACTTCAGCGCCACCAACTTCACCTTCATTTTCGGCTTCACGCCGTTGCCTTGGCTTCGCATTCGAAGCCAGAAGCCTAGCTGCGTCTCCACGCCTGGCGGGACTTCTGAAGTACCCCACCAAGGCACGTCACACACTAGGCGCAAGGACAAGAGCAGTACGCATGACTGCAGTGGGACTACCTCGAGACATCTTGGGAAGTGCATGACATTTGCACCTTTTTTCCACTTACAATGTCACACATATCGGCACATAGCACGCGTGCCGCGGTGTCACTGACCGGTCTCAGGCTGGGCTGCGCCACCTGCAGCAGGTAGGGCAGCATGTCCAGCACCAGGGTCGAGGCGCTGTTGAAGCAGCGCGCCCGCGGCGCCATGTCCGACACCATGGTGGCCAGCAGGTTCTTCTGCTTGGTGAGGCGCTGCTTCACCTGCGGCGGCCGGGCAGGCCGAGGTCACACTCGAGTCAGACTGACGCGGCCGGCGCTCTCGAGCCAGGGCCGGCAGGGGACGGCAGCAGACGGACGGCCGAGGCCACGCTCTCGCCACCGGAGGACGGGGCCGGGCGGCACCAGGCCAGTTACACTAAAGCTAGTTACAACACTAACTTATAGCACTAAACGCTAGTTACGCTACATAAGGCCAGAAGCGCCTGCTCCGGACCACCCCTCCACAACACCTCATTAACATGGGCGCAGCGCCAACTTCTGCCGAGGAGCACAGCCAGCCTCTGTGCGCGTGCCTGCGGGCGGCCCAGCGCTCCACCACAGCACCGGCGTGACGCCAGCCAACTGATCGGCTCGCGGCCGGCGCAGCTCGCCGCTCCCCGTTTCTCACCTCGGCCTCGGCCTGCGGGAAGGCGGGCCGCATCCGCTGCAGCGAGCCGAACAGCAGGTGGAACGCCACGCCCGCGTATTGCTGGTACGGCGCCAGCACGTAGTTCTGCGTGTGGTGCAGCTCGGTGCTCAGCTCGTCGTTGAAGCACAGCCAGTCGGCGCCCAGACCCACCTGGCGGCGACGGCGGGAACCAGCGTCAGCCGGACGTTCGCGGCGACTCGGTCTCACGTCAGCTGACAGGCCGTCGGTCAGCGAGCGCAGAAGCAAACAGAGGAGTTGAAAAAACATGGATACGATCCTATGATGCAAGGGCAATCATAACATGGCGTGCGTAAAAGGAATCATACGTCCAATATAATACAAACCTCTTGAATCATCTTGTTACTCATTAAGCAGTGTCTCCCCGGTTCTGCCATGTACAGGTCGAGACGGAGACACTGGCGGCACTGAGCACGTCTCACCGAGTTCATGCTGGAGTCCTTGATCTTGGCGTTGAGGTAGTTCTCGAACATGCCCAGCGCCAGCTTGTCGTACTCTCCGCAGGAGGCTACCAGGCTCACCATGTCCCGGAACCTGACGTCACGCTCCGCCCACGTCAGACGAACGGTGACGATACGGCGTCAGCAGTCCACGGCACATTCCGGACACGCGGGGCGCGCGGACGGCATCGGGTCCGCAGCCCACCTCCCGCTTGGAGTCCGGCACGAGTCCGGTGGTTTGACGTCCGTGTGGTTGGCGGTATGTGGGCGACGGGGCCAGACGACACCCGGCTGACGCGATGCGTTTCTGGCGACTCTCCGCCACCGAACGCATAAAAGATGACGGCGAATGAGCACATGAATGAATTAATGAATGAATGAACGAAGCATCGAGTGTAGGAAGCAAAACACTAACCAAGATAATCTTGAGGAGAGTTGACACAAAAAACTAACCACCGGCCTGTGACGTCCTGTTCACTCGTTCACACCCGGCCCTGCCTCGGCCCGCTGTTTGGCACTCCGGTGCGCCGACCGGGCAGAGGGGGAGCTGGCCCAGGGGGCCGGCCGGCCGGCGCCCGTGCCTCACCTCTCGGCCAGGCTGGTGCCGTCAGCCGGAGAGCCGCTGCGGCCCGCCGGCCTCCTCCACCACCAGGTGCTTCCTGCCGAGCGGGGACGCGTCACCGGCCGCACTCGGACACACGGGCCCCGCCCGGGCGGACACGCGGCCGGACCAGTATCTCCGGGCGGGTATCGGACGGTGGGTGTGACCGTAGCACGCCGAGTCGGCGATCGCCGGTCCCAGACAGGTCTGGCAGGACGCGTGCGACGCACGCGGCCTCGTAGCGACAGACGTCACCGGCTGCAGGCCGCAGGCGCACATGGAGAACAAAATAGGCAAAACTCAACAGCGGGCGTGGACGCGGTCATTTAACACAAGTTATGGTAGCCACGTGGTAGAGGCGACTTCACGCGTTATTCATGTTCATCAGACTAGTTCCTAACACGGCCTCATCGAGTTTCTGACGTCGCTTGTGCGCCAGCGTGGCGGGCCACCCACCGCTTGGGTCTAGGAATGTTGAAGATCTCCTGCCAGGCGGCGAAGAGGCCCTTGTGGTGGTCCTTCTGGCCGGCGGTGGACGCCTGCACCTGGTCCAAGGTGAGGCGGTCCTGTCGGCTCCTGTGGCGACACAGCTGGCGGTCAGCCGGAGACCGAGTCCAGGCCAGGTCAATCTCGGGTAGCACCCGCACAGGGCACTGCGTGGGGGGTCGGCAGCGAGTGAAAACGTCTGCGGGTGACGAAAAGCCTCAAGCGTCGGAGTTCCGCTGGCGAAGAGGAAAGTCAAGACTGACCGAGGCATTGGATGTAACAACGGTGTGGCAGCCCCACAGCACGCCATTCGCTCTGCAAATGCTAAGCCCCAATCCCGAACACGACCACTGGTCGTTTCAAACGGTCACATCGCGGATGTCACCGTTTGTGCCCCCTCGCCCCCCCCCCCCCCCCCCGTCATTGGTGACGACCGGCGAGGCCGAGGGCTCTGACCAGGGGCGGCGGACGCCACCGAACACTCAGCCCCCTCTGCACGCACCGCACAAACTGAAGAAAGCTGAGGCACGAGCGGATGTCGCTGCGGGTCTTCTCGCAGAGGGAGAGCAGAGCGCCCAGGTCCGTCCGCAAGCCGTTCCGGCGGCAGATGTCGGCCAGACGGCCGGCCAGTCTACAGGCGGGCCAGACGGTCACGCGGCGGGCCAGACGGTCACACGGCAGGCCAGACCGGGCCAGACGGCCGGCCAGTCTGCAGGCGGGCCAGACGGTTACGCTGCAGGCCAGACGGCCGGCCAGTCGCAGGCGGGCCAGACGGTCACACGGGAGTCAGACGGTCATGCGGCGGACCAGACGGTCACACGGGGGTCAGACGGTCACACGGGAGTCAGACGGTCACCCGGCAGCCCAGACGGTCACACTGCGGGCCAGACGGCCGGCTAGTCTGCAGGCGGGCCAGGCAGTCACGCGGCGGACTAGACGGTCACACGGCAGGCCAGACGGCCACGCGGCGGGCCAGACGGTCATGCGGCAGGCAGACGGTCACACGGCGGGCCAGACGGCCACGCGGCGGGCCAGACGGTCACGCCGCACGCGCTAACAGTCTGGGTGCTGTTCGCTGCTTTGCTCACGTTGCCGCGCTGTTTGCATGGGAATCATCGGCAACGAACACATCAGTCCCAATGCACCAACGGGAAATCAATACGCGTGTTCTCTCTCGGTAACCTATCTCACACCCACGACGTGGGCGCTTCCCCTCCCCCCTTCATAGCACACCTCGCCCCGTCCCAGTCAGTAGCCAGCACTTTACTCAGTCATTCCCATCACTCCAATACCCACCTTAGCTCCAAAACTCCGTCTCTCTCCAGCCCTCCTCTCTGCGCCCTCTCCACGCGGCGCGCGCCTGCTCACCGCTCGCGCGACGTCGGCGGGAAGGTCATGACGAGCGCCATCTGCCGGAGCGGCCGCAGCGCCGGCGCGTACGGGTCGTTGCAGATGCAGATGACGGGCCGGTGAATGGGCGCCGTGGCTGCCTTCTGGCGGCGCGCGCGCCCCGTGCCAGCCCCGTCCGAGTTGGACAGCGCAGTCACCAGCAAGTTGATGGACGGCTGGGGACGGGCGGAGCGTCAGCTGTCGTCGGTTGACGGCTGGGGACGGACGGGACGTCAGCTGTCGGCGGGCGACGGCTGGGGACGGGCGGGACGTCAGCTGTCGTCGGGTGACGGCTGGGGACGGGCGGGACGTCAGCTGTCGGCAGGCGACGGCTGGGGACGGGCGGGACGTCAGCTGTCGTCGGGTGACGGCTGGGACGGCGGGACGTCAGCTGTCGGCAGGCGACGGCTGGGACGGGCGGGACGTCAGCTGTCGGCAGGCGACAGCTGGGGACGGGCGGGACGTCAGCTGTCGTCGGGTGACGGCTGGGGACGGGCGGGACGTCAGATGTCGTCGGGTGACGGCTGGGGACGGGCGGGACGTCAGCTGTCGGCTGGCGACAGCTGGGGACGGGCGGGACGTCAGCTGTCGTCAGGCGAGGCGTCCCCACACACGCAAAAGCAAAAGCGGTCAGATACTAAGCCTCACGACAACGCGCACTGAGAGGTTAGGGGCGGGATGCGTACTGCCGGACAACTCCACTGACGGCAGCTCTTTCCTTCGCCATCACGGTCACAAACAGGTCACCCCCGACCGTACCAACCACCACACCGCGCCCATCCTTCCCAAGCCGTCCACATTGACGGCCGCGCGTGTCTGCGTGCTCTCCGAGCCAACCGACGCGGCGCTCCCATCCAACCGACGCGGCTCCCCGAGCAGACCGAAACGGCGCCCCGAGCCGACCGACGCGGCGCTCCGAGCCCACAGACGTGGCATTCCGAGCCGACCGACGCGGCGCTCTGAGCCCACAGACGCGGCGCTCCGAGCCCACAGACGCGGCGCTCCGAACCGACCGACGCTGGACGCTCACCGCCGGCGCGCCGTCGATCTCATCGATGACGAGGCAGTTGGGGCGCGGGTCGCTGCCGAGCATGGGCCGCATCTGAGTGGCCGTCTCCAGCGCCGTGCGGAACGCCGCCAAGCTCCTGTCGTCCGACGCGTTCATCTCCAGCACGTTGTAGCCTGGAGTCAAGGTCAGCGTTAAAGTTTTTCGTTCGCTTCCTGGTTAGGAGCAAGTCTTCCCCAACTGGAGCGTAAAACAGAAACAAAATCTTACCCTGAAAATCATTTTACACCACACAATTTTATTTCAAACACATAATTTCAGACGGGACAAACGTGTCATCCAACAGAAAGCAGCAGCTTTCAAATCACCGTCATGTAATAGGACGCGGCAGGAGGAGCGCGACATCTTTGAAAGACGAAGTGCGGTTCGTGTTAGCTTTTCCTGGGAATTCAATTTTGCAGGAAAAGTGACGCGCACAATTTTCTGGATGGAGAAACCTCAGTGAAAGGTCCATTTTCAACATTAAACGCGAAACAAGACAAATGTAAGCTGATGCACGACACAAGCGGACTGAAACCGTCCACGAACAGACAACTAACGGCACCGGCCCGGACATGTGACGCACGCCACCTGCCTCCCCAATACTGTCTGAGCACAAAACCGCTCACACGAGACCACAACGCCCCGTGAGCGCATCGGTCGCCCGCGAGTCGCCAGATCCGTTAACATCTTCCCGGGATGGACCACGACGGGCCGAACAGGCTCAGCCAGCGGAGCGGTCAGGACGACAGGGGAGGGAGACGATGATGCCACCTACCGGCGTGCCTGGCCAGCACGTGCGCCAGCGTGGTCTTGCCAAGCCCGGGCGGGCCGCACAGCAGTGCCACCTTCTGGCGCGGCCGGTTCGTGGCGTCCAACTCCTCCACCACCTCGAACGCCGGCTTGCGGACGAACGGCTTGACTGCGGATGCGGGTCAGAACTCAGGTCAGGTACGTCATGACACGGGTCATGGAGTCAGTAGACGGTCAGGCGGGTCAGGAAGCGGGTCAGGTCAGGCGATTCGGGACGCAGTTCAGGTCAGGGGGGTCAGGACGCGAGTCAAAAGATCGGGTGACCCGGGAAGCGGGTCGGTAGGTCAGGCAGTTCAGCACGCGGATCAGGGCACGGATCAGGTCAGGAGAGTCAGGAGACCACAACGGGTCAGGACGCAGGTCACCGACGGTCAGACGAGCCAGGACGCGAGTCGTGAGGTCAAGTGGGTCACAATGGGGGTCGGGAGGTCACGTGGTCACTAGTCAGGACCAAGCCAAGGTACGCAATCTGGGGTTGAGGAAGAAGCTTATTTGTCACTTTGTAGGTGGCGACAGCCGTCTCACGGGCAGGGCACCACATCCAAGTTATAACAACGCCGACAGAACACAGCCGTCTCACAGCCTTAACGACATGCTGAGATTGTGTCGTAGTGCCGAGAGCCGAACCAAGAGCATGATTAGTCCAGAACCGGCGGTGCGGCTGCCCACAAGCAATGGCATCGGAGTCCGAACAACGCTCCAGATTTACCAAGCACTCACTTCAACCTTGCCTACTTTGTGTGACAACAAAGTGCTCTGAAACAAACAAGTCACGATGTAACGATTAGGAAGCAATGAGTGCATTGCCAAGGACACCACCTGTAAGACGAGACACACATGGCATGCTCACATTTGCCGTCCGGCTTCTTCTTCTCTTCCTTGGGCTTGATGATAACGTCGCGTCCAAACACGGCCTTGTCCCAGAGCTTCATCCAGTGAAGCAGGCCTCGATTAATACTCTGGAACAGGCGACCATGATTAATACTCTCGAACAGGAGGCGATGGTGGTCAATCCGTGATAACCGCATGCTCTGTTGACATGAACAGAAATATAGTCGGAAATCAAAGACCGTAGTGACAACAGAGCGCAAACTGAGACCAGGTTATTCGACACTGAGCCAACTACTACGCTACAGCTGGCACCGGGACCAACCAAAACACCGCCGTTCCAGCACGGCTGACACGGCATCGTGTGAGCCTTTGGGCCGACTCCCCGACCGGGGCCGATTTGGGCACGACCTCTCACCTCGTCGCTGAGCAGCTCGACGTAGGAGCGCGGCTGGAAGCGCTCGACCCAGAGGGCGCTGCGCTCGGACTCGTCGTCCGACTCGACGCCCGAGTCTGCGGCCGGCTCGTCCTGCCAGGTGGCCAGCTTGTCCAGGACCTGGCGCTCCTGCTGCAGCCGCCGCCGCCGCTCCTCCTGGCGCGTGGACAGCAGGCGTTTGGGTATGATACGGCCCCCTTCGCCGCGTGTTCGCCGTTACAGACGGGTCGGGTCACGTTTGCCGGGATGTATGTAGGTCTGGGTTTTTTAGGACAGGGCGTGATAGCACCGACGACACGCATGCTTACTGAGAACTGACTGGCCTTAATGAGTTGTACTTAAGAATGTGCTTATTCATTTGGACACACTGCTTCTGAGAGGTATGAAGAGCTGTGAGTGGCTCGAGGTATGGCCAGGTCTGTAGGGTAGAGGGGCTGCGAGAAAATAATTGTTCCTGCATTCATGGGAAGCAGGTACGTAACACAATGTAATGCACGAAAACGCCCTCCTCCACTCTCTCCCTATTCCGAGGCACATTTGCGCAGCTTAAATATCGGTTATGCTTTCGTGGAAAAGGACAACACATACATGTATTACAACACTCTTGTGTTCTATAATACATCAGACAGTTAGAACAAAGAAAAAACATCGCTGATGTGACTACTTTTTGGGCTTGATGGCGTTTGCCGTCCAACATTGCCATACGTCGCAAAATAATTGCATGGCATCACGGAAAGCCCATGCATCGCACATTTCATCCAAATAACGGTGATCTGCAAGTCACTAAAGCGATGGCAGAGTTCACACGTCTATTCTGTGTAATACTCCTGCACACCCAGATCGGACAAATGGGCGCTGCGGTATGTGGCTTTCCTCAGTCTGTCTGTTAACCTCGAAAGTACGGTCCGCTCCCAGTCTTTATAACAACCCCGAGTACCTCATCACCAACGCTTTTGTTCTCACCTGTCTACATACCAAGCGAAATGGCGCGGTTTGCAAGACTTCCTGCGCTCAGACCAAAGGTTGGGAGAACGGTGGGGAGTGGTGGGGGAAGACCGCTCCACGAGCATCGGCCCGCCCGCCGTGCTGCTCGTCCCACTCACCAGCTGGCGAGCCTCGTCCTTCAGTTGCTGCAGCGGCCGCGAAAGCAAGCTGGCGCCCGTCGCCACCGGGCTGTCCACCAGCTGCCGGGCGCGGCACGGGCCGTGACCAGAGGGGACTGAGGTGAACTTCGCGCGGCGCACACCACCCGAAAAAACAGCGGCGGGGTCAATGCAACCGCAAACAAATGATGCACTGCCCCTCGTTGCACATAAAACAAAGCACATGCGCTGTAACAGCGCACCCGCACTGCGAGTAAACAGAGGATGCCGTGGCTTTCGACGGTGAGACCCCACCGACACGGCAGCGTCTCCCGTAAAGCCAAGCGGGCCTCCAACGCCGGCCAGTGACGGCCCTACGCCGGCCGCCCGGCGCCATACTCCGGCCTGCACGCACCTGCGGACCGGTGCCCCGCACGCGTAGGTAGTAGCGTGTGCCGTCCGGGAAGGTCATCTTCTGGAAGTTGCAGCCGATCAGCACGCGCGTGCTGATGCGGGCCCGGTCCCGCGACGCCGCGGCGCTGTCCGGCAGAGGGCGGGGTGAGGCGGAGCCCGGCGCAGGCAGAATATCGAGAGAGGGTCCTCTCACAAGGAGAGAAGAAGAGAAGAGGTGAAGCTGCATACCTTTCTGGGCCTGGGCCAGCAACAAACTGCTCCATCTTTGGCAGCGCTCGGCTGTTCCGTATCCTTTCCATGAGTGAGTCCATGTTAGCATCCTCTGAAGTCTTTGGTAAAGCTGTCTTCTGTCTCTTGGGAGCTGCAAGGTGAAATATCAATGTGAAAATGGCCTTGGAATGGAATGATAAGCGTAACTGAAATAAAACTGTGTGCAGCAATTCTTCTAATCATCTGAAGTGGAGCTATTGATCCAGTGATGATTTAAAGGGTAGAGACATATCACATCACCTCCCATCCTCTGATGACAAACATGCAGCATTGTGTGTCATTGGGGCTTTACAATGCACTCAGCTGCTGAGGCTATATGGTGTCACCTGCCTCTCACCCTGGCAGGAAGGGCGGGCACCGCGGGGAATCAAACCCAGTACCTCTGGTTTCCCAGACGCGCAGTAACGCAGACGCATTAACCACTACACTAACGGCACCCCAAACATGCAACATTCACAGGTTAGCAAGCAGCATACCACTTACCAGATGCAAGCATCAGCCTGCAACCCAACGTGATCTTGCATGTTTATCCACATCTTCTAAGATGTGTGTCCATGCAAGTGAGAAAAAACCTGGTTTGGCATACTAACCTGCATCTTCATCTGAGTCCTCTAGCCCATTTAAATCCCCAAATATTTCCTCCAGCTGCCTTTTGTTCCCTGGAGTCTGTGGTCTCGCAGCATTATTATTCTGTGTTGGACCTGTGGATGGTTTCCCACTGACCACAGCTGGGGTAACAGATGCCTCTGCTGCCTCCTCATCATCAATATCAGATGGAATATCTGGGAACAAAATTGTCATTGTAAGGTGGTACATAATAATGTCTAAGACCAATAATGCAGTTGCCTCCATTAACACTCTCCTCATCAGAACAAGAGAACAGTAATCTAGCTTCACTTATCACAGCAACAGCACACACAGTCTTCATCATGTCTGAAATTACCTGGATGATCAATCACAAGTTTGTGATCATTTTCCAATTCTTCCAAAAGGTCCTCCAGGTCATCATAATCTGGAGCATCTGGTGGCTGATCAAGGTCCATTGCTTCAGGCTGCAAAAATGTAAGCATCATTTTTGTGATGGAGATTTCTGTAAGTACCTGAAAAATTTAGATCTGAGCAAGTAAGGTACACATGAAAATACAATATGTACAGCACATCAGGCTGATGAATATCAACAGCATATACACCAAACACTATATAATCAATGCATACCACAGCACAGAATAAATGGCATTGCAAACCAGAATGGAAGATGCCTGCACTGAATTCTACCAAAAGCTAGGGAAAATTTTGCTGATACAGCATCAATGTGTTTGCCAGCCATTCCTATCAGAGAATGCGAAAGCATAAACATACTGATGACCAGCATTATTTCATGCTGCAGCAAATAACTTGTAGCATTGTAAGGATCCAGGATAAGCTGGTGAGTAAGGAAAAAAACGTGTAACACCAATTCGTGCCTAGGGCATTCACTGTGATGGAAAGTGTAAATCTGTAAGCACAACAATTGTTAGTGTTGAAAAAATGAAGCTCCAAACCTTTATGTTAAGCTAAACGCAATCTATTAAATACTACCACAAATACAAATATACCTGTGAAGAACTGTAAATGACGCAAAATACTCTAGAATGTTACAAAGGAACCGCGCGAAAAAAGCAATTACAGCTGTATATCACCTCCCAGCACGCCCAATCACCTAATTCTGCCCAAAGTACGCGCCACTGTTTTAGAACCATATGCACCAGATTTGACACACAGTGTTTGCTACCAAATTTAATATATGTGACGTCATATTAACTAATATACATGAATTAGCCACGTCGATGAAAATTCAAAATAAAGACCTTCCATCGGCATCAATCCTTGGATCGGACTGCATTGTTTCAAGGCTGCTCTTAAAGTACGCTACTTTTGCTCTCTCAATGGATGATGAACTATTGCACTACCACATTTCAGGTTATCGTTCAAGCATCACATTCCAGGGCGGAGGGCCCTTTCCATTTTGGGAGGTCAATGGCCATCTTGGGGTACATTCTTTCTTGTAATTGCCTGAAGGGTCAATGCCAAATTTTAGAAATTCGAGGGGCATAACCTGTTAGTCCCGCTTTTTCAGTATTCCTACCCCAATTTCTCTAATTTTAACCGAATGCCTTCGCTGCATAATATAAAGAAGCACAGTTAACAAGTCATGGTGTGTTTTGATACATAAAATATTTCTTTAGAATGCACAAAAGGCATTTTGCAATGAATACTGATCCGCTAACTGCGCTGGCGGAAACCAAATACTCTGTAACAAAAACTTTATTTTTCCCACACCTGATGAATGCCATATTTATTTGTTACCATTTTACTACACCTGAAATTTGAATTACCCTCACGGTATTAAGCCATTTGATGACGTCACAACAAATATTTAAGGCACTTAATTAATTTTAGAGCACTGTATTTGTAAATATATAGTTAATTTCTATCTATTCTTTTTTATAAAAAGCATTATATAACAAATTGAGCCAAAGTTTCTTGACTATTTATCTTTATACATCACATTATGAAATCCAGCATTAATATCATGTCCCTTGCTGTATGGCATCTCAGCTGTTTTCTGTAACGGTCTTGCAGAGACGTGAGTAAACAGGGCGAGAAAGGGTGGGAGGGGACTGAGAATCGCTGTGCAATAGTAACATTTTCCCGCTTGATATTCAGGTGAGTTCCCACGTCCTTGAAGAATTGGCTGCGATGATGTGTAATTCAGAACATAGGCGTCTTGCAGTCAACCCAATTAACTCTTCTACGCAGAAGCTCTCGCCCGTCATTACCTGGAGATGCCAGGTGTCGGCCTTGTTTTGATGCGGGGCGTTGGTTGGCCTTCACGGTCGTTTTTAATGCATTTTCGTAGGATATCTGCTGATTGTGAGAGGGACACTGATCTTAAAATTCTGTAGGCGTGCATGGCAACGAATTGTGTGAATATTGTATCATTTATGTTCCACATTAATTTTATTAAGTATTAGCATAAGAGTATGCAGCAACTAATGCATTTTGTAGATTTGTGCATGTTGGTTAAATCAGTGTGTTGAGTAATGACTATTACATACTGTGATAGTGCTTTGTGTGCCTGAAATTATGGTGACTGTTGAGAACTAGTGGAAGTGTTCATTATTGTCAGATCTATTATATAGGCTGGATATATATAATTATATAGATCTATTATATCTATATAGGCTTCATATTGTGGTCTAGTCTGTATTTTCTGGTATGTTTCAGCTTAGTTCTTTTCAGAATAAGAACTCAAAATTGAATAGACTGAAGTACCTTTTTGCTTGTAACCTAGCACATCACACATAGCATATTCACACATTTCCTCATGGGAGCTGAGAAAGGACTTGTTATATTCCTCAGCCTGCTTCAGTCTACATGTCTGCTATTCCCTTTCCATCCTTATACATAAATAAAATGTCACAACCCTATTGCAAGGATGTGATCCTACTTGGGTTGCTACTTACTTGCTCAGCACCTAAAGACAGATAGCTGGTGATGTACATACCCCAAAATAGCATGCATGCCCATGTGCACTTGCATTTGTGTTGTTTGATATTTGCAAAACAAATGTATTAAAATTTTGGCTCCCAATATCTGCAAATGTGATCTCAACATTAAGGACCATCACTTAAAATCTGCTGGTAGTTTGTAATCAAGAGTATTTGTGCCATATAGATAAATCCAGCACTAGCTTAAAGACGCACAGGAGCCTATCTTGACACACTATATCTTGACACACTTCCCATTTTTCCAGATCATATTACATGACAAGAGGTTTAAAGGGTATGCCTGTTTATTTCTTGGTGGCTTTTATATCATTGACATTTTGCTCCTGGTGCCTACAGGGAGATGCTAAGGATGTGATTGTAAAAATTGCAATTGCATGTGCATAAAGCTCTAGTCAGAGCAAAATATAGGTGTTTTCAAGAGTTAATCCTAACTTTTTGAACAGATGGATTTCTGGAATCAGAGCTCACACTTAGTATTACTTGCTATGTCAGCTCTGTCACCTACCATCCAGTCATGCGAGTTCAGATCAATAGCATAATTTTGTGGTGAAAGTTTAATATGCTGCCATGCTTGGCATGGTCTGTCCAGTTCCCTGACATCTCCTGACCTGAAGAGCAGTCAATGCTATAGGCCTGGGCCGTAGCTGTCAAGGGCGAATAGTGAGCACCTAAAGTGACTTAAACTTGCCCTGCTAGGGCTGGGTGGATCAGAATGCATGTGGCCTAACTGGCTGGGCCATCTGGAGGGATGATGACTTGATATGATGTTAATGTTATTCTGTAGAACTGAAAACTTGAATTTTTGTGTTCAGATATTGTGCAAAAGAAAATTTTGGATGAGCTCTTTAAAGATTCAATGTTTATTATTGCTATGTTATTTTATAACAATGCTGCTATATCAAATGATTTGACTGATTGAAGTTATGTTTGTAATTATAAAAAATCAATTTGTCCATAGCCTCTATCTTGATATGCTATCTGCCAAAAGAAAGATCAAGAATTCCATACATTCATGTTTATATTCACTCCACAGATCAGAAAACAGAATGGAGGAAGATACTGAATACCTGAAATTGTCCACTGAGGATCAGTGCCAACACAAGGTAAGTGGACTGTTCTGATTGGGAGGAAAAGCAGCCTTCTCCAACTATACAGGAAGCTGCATTGCAAGTGGCAAGGGGGGATCCTGTTTGGTTTTTGATTATGTGACACTTTTCTGTGGTTTGAATACAGGTTGATTCATTTGTAATCATTGTAGTCATATGTTGGTTGTCCAGTGCAGTAGTGTTGCTATTTTTACACAAACAATTCCAGAAGAACCCTTGATATAGGCTTTGGATTATGTTTCTAATGGAAACATTTTTTTGCACCAGTTTGAGCTAAATAGGTGGAAGGTACTCCTAGTCACTGCTATGTTGTTATTGATGAGGTTGTGTTTCTCATCTTAGTCATGCATTTCAGTAGATTCAAGTTTTGTTGCTTCACATAATTTACCCATAGTTGGATCACAACACTTACCATGAGCCAAACACCAATATTTGTTGCTTCAACAGCATCAATTTACTCTGCAATGCATGCCCACTGAAGGATTCCACAGCATGTCCAAATGTAAGGTGCAACTGCTCCATTTAGTACAGCACAGAACTCAGTGAACAGGCTGGTGAAGCTTGAACTTTTGTCTGGTAATTGTACCTAATGGTATTGTCACAACCAAATGTATGGGCTATTCAACCACAGTGTGGTCCAATGGGGACTGTTTTTGTAAAAGTGAACAGCCAGAGTAAATATCACATTTGCTTTAGATACACAGTTTTGGACCTGATGTATCTCTTTTCACCAATAAATATGAGCCATAGATTTTATCATTCAAAATTTGGAGTAAAGGTGCAATCCAAAATGCAGCATTCAGAGCTCAAGTATTCTATGTTGCTAGTGGCTTTGTGTGGCTAAATATAATGGCTTAATATTTGTCTTTTTAATATAATTTTTCTTAGACAAACAGCTGTCTGATTTCCTCCATTGAGCAACAGATAAGAACAAAAACATTTGAGTGATATGAAAAAAATAGCTGATTTGTTCATCATAATTTTCTCCTGACAAAGTGCAGGCTCAGACATCATTCATGTGGTCATTTTAGGTCTGATTATTAAGCATGGTGTGTGCTTGGGTTTTCATTTAGGAATTTCCTGCTTGTGCAGTATTATTCAGATGAATGTTTTCATTAATACATAATTTTATATTGCCCAATCTCACCCACAATATCTGAATGGCTACTTTAAATTGCAGTGTAGGATGCCTAGGGATTGGCACAGGGAGCAGAACTGGCAGTGAACTCTATACCTGTTAAGCAGTGTTTGAGGCTTGCTTTGTCTTTCTGGTGACAAAGTAGTTCTTTGTTGCATGCATGTAATTTTGCATGCATGCAAAATGCATGGTGACATGTAGTTCTTTGAATGCCAATGGCTTGTTTGTTATGCATTGCACACAGCTGTGGTCTGATATATGTGCATGCTTTGCATCATGTGAACAGGGGGGACGACTTGCTTCTTGGCTGCGAAGTACGTTTGTTCAACATCGAATACTTGTACCTGTCATGTGCTGCTCTCTTGTTATTTCAGCTCTGGAAAGCGCGCCTTAAGGGCTACGAAGACGCCACGCAGCTGTTCCAGGGGCTGAACGAGAAGGCGCCAGAGTTCAGTCGCTATGCCGGCCTCATCAAGAAGTTTGTGGCCGACAGCAATGCCGTGGCCCAGGAGAAGGGTCTCGAGGCGGCGCTCGTCTTCATGGAGAACGCTCACGTGGCGGGCAGGTGAGACCGCCAGCGCAGAGTGGTGCTCGCGCTTCGACTCGAGCTCTCCCCCCGGTGTGGCTTTGCCGGAATGTTCGTTTTGGGGGTGCGGAACGCCTCTGTTAAGCGAGCTGACGCCAATGGGCGGACGATGACGAACCAGTCGGGACTTTGTGCGAGAACCGCTCATATGATTCTCGCCTTTACTCCCTGTACTGTACTGTACCTGAACAGCGGCATTTGTGTACAAGAACTGCGCACTATCTCGCCTTCACTTTCTGGCGCACTGATTCCTCGGACAGAATGCTAGGGCTTCTCGGTGGGAGCTGACTGTGGGCGTTTTCTGTGTAGCTCGCTGTCTGTATTTTTTGCGCCGCTGTTGGCTGGCCCGCCGTCCGCCGCACCCTGCCGCGCGTGTGTGTGACGTCATCGCCGCCCCCGCCGGCAGGGTGAGCGGCGACGTGGTGGCGGCCGTGGTGCAGAAGGCGATCGCTGCGCCCAAGACCAGTACGCGCGAGAAGGCCCGCGAGCTGCTGCTCATGGTGGTCGAGATCGAGAAGTACGAGCTGGTGCAGGAGGAGCTGGTGAAGGGCTTCAGCCAGAAGAACCCCAAGGTGGTGGCGGCCTGCATCGGCGCGCTGACCCTGGCGCTGCAGTGAGTGGCCTCCACCAGCTGGGGCGGGCAGTACCGCAGCAGCCCGTGCTGCCGGTGCGTTCGGATGACCCGCACGGGGTGTTAAGAATGGGATCAAGCATTTGCTGCTCCTATGACGACAATGCTTGCGCAACCCGCCGACCCTGCTGGCCCGAACACACGGGTGTGGTGCAGCATTTTATAGCAGCAGTGGTCTGTGACATGTTGCCAGTCTTCGTGACGGGTTTTGTACATTATAGCACTCGTTCAGCAGCTGGCCGGCTTGCTCATTGCTGCCATTGCATGATAAGCGGCATTGTGCGCCAAGGGTCATTGTGAGGGGTGCATTGTGTTTCACCCTGATGAATGTTCACTGGAATAATGCAAGCTGGATGCCGGTGAGTCTGCCCCGCGCACTCATGCCCATGTATCCGACCTGGCAGATCGTTCGGTCACAAGATCCTGAGTCTGAAGCCGCTGATCAAGCTCATCCCCGGGCTGATGGAGCACAAGGACAAGAACGTGCGCGAGGAGGCCAAGGGTCTGATCGTGGAGCTGCACCGCTGGATTGGCGACGCCATCAAGGCGCACATCGCGTCCCTGAAGCCGGTCCAGGTCAGACGAGCTCCAGCCAGGCGTGCTGCCGTCCGGCCTGGCGCCGGGTGGCCCGCGGTGGACCCGCTGACCGTGGCGCGCTCGTCCTGCGGTCATTTGCCGAGCGCTGGGACCGGGGGGAGCGGGTGCTGTTTAACCCGGGCAAGACTTGTTCACGGCTTTCAAACTTACCAGTTTTTTATTGTGAGTTTCATTTGTTGGCTCTTCAGCACACCTTGCACCGTCGTACCAACACATTAAGCATACGCGCTCCCGGGTCCCTTGGTTATCTCAAGCGCATATCCGGGATGAGGTAAACTGAACTGATAAACACAACTGAATGTGACTCCAAAGGATGCGTGTCAATGCTCTGCTGCCGCTGACTCCACACCCGATGGCTGACCCCCACCCCTGACATCTGACTCCACCCCTGACATCTGACTCCACCCCTGGCGTCTGGCGCCATCCCTGATGCGTGACCCCATCCATGATGGCTGACTCCACCGCCGACGTCTGACTCCACCGCTGACGTCTGACTCCACCGCCGACGTCTGACTCCACCCCTGATGTATGACTCCATCGCTGACGACTGACTCCACCTCTGACGTCGGACTCTACCGCTGACGTCTGACTCCACCGCTGACGGCTGACTCCACCGCCGACGTCTGACTCCACATCTGACTTCACTGCTGACGGCTGACTCCACCGCCGACGTCTGACTCCACCGCTGACGGCTGACTCCACCGCTGACGGCTGACTCCACTGCTGACGGCTGACTCCACCGCCGACGTCTGACTCCACCGCTGACGGCTGACTCCACCGCTGACGGCTGACTCCACTCCTGACGTTCCACCCGTGACGGCCGACCCCACCTCTGACGGCTGACTCTGTATCCCGGCCGCCAGGTATCCGAACTGGAGGCCGAGTTTGCGCGATCGTCGGGCCAGAAGGCGCAGCAGACGCGCTACTTACGCTCACAGCAGGATCTGCGCGCCAAGATGGAGGCGCAGGGACCGGCCGACGAGGACGGCGACGACGACGACGGCGACGAGGCCGAGGACGAGGCCATCGACCCCCTCGACCTGCTCGAACCCGTCAACATCCTCGCCCAGCTGCCCAAGGAGTTTCACGAGCTGGTCGAGGCCAAGAAGTGGCAGGAGCGTAAGCAGGGGCTGGAGGCCCTGCGGGAGCTCACTACCAAGCACCCCAAACTGGAGCCGGGAGACTACGGCGATGTGGTGAAGGCGCTGAAGAAGATCATCAGCAAGGACACGAACGTGATGGTGGTGGCGTTGGCCGGGCACTGCCTCGCCGGCGTGGCCTCCGGCCTCAAAAAGCACTTCGCGCCGTACGCCGTTGCGTGCATCGGCGCCATCGTCGAGAAGTTCAAGGAGAAAAAGACAAACGTAGTGACGGCGCTCCGCGAGGCGGCGGACGCCATCTACCCGGCGGTGAGTGACGCCACAGGTGTTGTGACGTCAGCGAGCTGCGTCACGGCCGCTGGCGTGCCGTGTAGTGTTGGGTGACGCCAGAGATTGTGCTCGTGCGCGTTGTGCGGTGTGGGCCGTTGGCGGTCGGTGGCGACTTGTGTCTTCCCGGCCTGCTGCACTATGCGTGTGTGGGGGGGGGGTATGTGTGTGTGTGTGTGTGTGTGTGTGTGTGTGTGTGTGTGTTTGTGTGTGTGTGTGTGTGTGTGCGTGCGTGTGTGTGGGAGCGCGCGCGCTATTGGTGATCAACTTCTACCTGCCGCTGCCGTAGACGTCGCTGGAGGCGATGCAGGAGGACCTGCTGGGCGGCTTGAACAACAAGAACCCGTCGGTAAAGTCGGAGACGGCCTCGTTCCTTGCGCGCTGCTTCTGCTACTGCACGCCGGCCATCCTCACCAAGAAGCTGCTCAAGGCCTACGTCACAGAGTTGGTGAAGCTGCTGTCTGACTCGGGTGAGTCCCGGGTGCGGGGTGGCGCCGATGTACGGTGTCCGGCACTCCGCCCGCTAGCCGGGCACGGACCGGACACTGGGCTGTGGGGACCCTCTTTAAAAGGACAGATTGGCATTGAGCGCAGGCTGTAGTAAGAGCAGGTGCCTCCACGGCAGACCAGCCGCAACTCAAGCATGCAGGGTGGCAACTTTTGTGCTCAGCAACAAATGCTGCAATTTCATCGAAAAGTAATTGTGAAGCAAGCAGCACCAGGCAAGCGTATTTTTCCCGTGCATTCGTGAGATTGAAGCGGTCTGTCTGTGTTTTAAAACGCTATCGCCGTCCGTCGCACTTCTGATGTGATCATGCGTCGCGACGCCGTCCCTTGGAGCGGGCCGGACGGCGGCGCCGCCCGTGAGGCGTGAGCTGAGGGTGGGCGCGTCTGCTGCAGATCCGACGGTGCGCGACGGCGCGTCGGACGCGCTCGGCACCGCCTGGAAGGTGGTGGGCGAGAAGGTCATCACCCCATTCATCGGCGATGTCGACAGCCTGAAGCTGGCCAAGGTCAGCATGGCTCGCGGGTGCTGAAGAGGGCACGGGGGGGGGGGGGGACAGGCAACTAACGCACTGCATCATTAGGTGGTACAGGGGGCTCGTCTACCCGGCCTGTTCTCGCTCATGTATCATGCCTGGAAGGGCTGGGCCGGACCGCGGCCTCCGCTGGGAGGTGGGACGAGTGGCGGTGGCGATGTACGCCTCGATAGGGTGAGAGCGCCGCGACTGTCGCCGCCCGTAATGCCGGGAAGTCCGGAGCATCGACCGGCTAGCACTGGTCGCCAGCAATAGCTGAGGACGCGTCAGCTGCTGAGGCTGTGCTCGCCGGCATCGGCCGCCTGGACCCAGCCTCGTCCGGCCGGCTGACGCGTGTCTGGCGACAGCCGCCGCCGCTGACCGCCCGCCTCCGTCCCCCAGATCAAGGAGTTCAGCGAGAAGGCCGAGATCAAGGTGCGGATTGTGGCGCCCAAGAGCCGACCGGCGTCGGCCGCTGCGCCCGCCAAGGCCAAGGTGGTGCGGTCGGGCGGGGCCACGGCCGCTGCCGCCAAGAAGCCGGCGGCCGCCCGGCCCGGCGCCAAGAAGCCGGCCGCCAAGAAGGGTCCGTCCAAGACCGGTGAGCGGCGCTGGGTATGGCTCTGGACAGCTCGGGGAGCTGGGATGGAGCTGATGTCCTTCTGATGTTCCATGGCTGATGTATGTGCGCGGTCTAAATTTTCAGGGACTGTGGTTTGCGGGGGGGGGGGGGGGTTCTTCGTATGTCTGCGGGAGCGCAGCCGCATGCTCTGCTTACACCAAGGCAAATACGAATACATACACAAACATCAGCCAACTCCCAAGTCCGCTATGTGGTGGCCGCCCCGGCCATGTGCTGGACTACGGTCGGCTTAGCCGCGCCTGTGTCGGCGCCACCGTCCTCCGCCCGACGCCGTGTGCTCGCGCGCGGCAGCGTCGGCCCCGCCGGCGGCGGCGGCTCAGGAGGGGACTGAGCCCGAGATCAGCGACGAGGAAGCCGACCAGCTGGTGGCCGACCTCATCTCCGAGGACGTCATCAAACAGCTGGCCGACTCCAACTGGAAGACGCGCCTGCTGGCCACCGAGACTGTGCAGCAGGTGAATGGCGCCTGCCGCTGCGACCGCTGCTGGCTGCGTCCAGCCAGCGCTCGCTGTGACGCTCCTGGGACGTGGCGCTGGTGCCATGTAGAGACTCGCATGTGGTGTTGGTGTTACCCAATCAGGTAGCGAGATCTCCACACGCACGTGATGATCAGGGTGGCGCCTTTTAAATAAAAAAGTGGTGCTTTCTTCCAGATCGAACCCATGGAGAGACTCGCGAAGGCATGCAGGCTACCACCACACGTGCTGTCCTCGGTGTCGAAGTGCCTCCTCGCATGCGAGTCAGCGAGACGGTGCCCTGACGGGAGTGTGCGGCTTCACAGACGGTGTCGGGCCGCTCGGACCTACCGACTCAGGCGCTGCTCCGGGTGATGAGCAGGAAGCCAGGCCTGAAGGACAACAACTTCCAGGTGCTGAAGCTCAAGTTCAATGTGGTCCTGCAGCTTGCGGAGAACACCAAGTTCACCAGGTCAGTAAGATGCGGAGCAGTCAGTTAACCGTCGCCAGCCGTGTTACAAGCGGCAGGCCCTTAAGGGTGTTTTTAATATTTAATTCGGACCTTTTGAATGGATTTGTTGCCGGGATCAGAGCTCACGTTAAGCAGTCCCTGTTGTGTGAGTGCTGACCCTGCCATCCGGCCGTGCAGTGTCAGTGTAGCGGCAGAATTTGGCGGCGAAAGCCCAATGTGTTGCAACGCTCGACACCATCCGTCCTGTCTTCTGACGTCAATTGACCGTTAATGCGGCCTCTGCTACCGGCCGCAGGCCATACCTTTCAAGGGCAAATAACGAGCGCCTAAAGCGACTCGAACCCACCCCGCCATGGGTGGATGGGTCGGAAGGCAGGCGCTTTAACCAGCTGAGCTATCGGGGCGGACGGCGGCGCTTACTCCGCTGGCCATGGTTCGCCCCAACCTTCGTGTCCGGTCCTACGTCCGTGTTCCAGTCCCCGTCCCCTGTCCGTCCTGTCCCTCCCCGCCGGTAGCGGGCTTTCCTACGCCGTGTGGTGCCGGCAGTCGTGCCAGGGTCGTCTGTGGCTTCGTTGGCCCGTGTCGAGCGTCACCGAGCGCCGCTCCCCGCTGCCGGCAGACGCTCGGCGGACGTCTGTCTCTCTGATCTGGTGGACAAGCTGGGAGACGCCAAGACGGGCGGCGGCGCGGCGGCCGCCCTCTCGGCCGTGGCCGAGGCGCTCTCGCTGGAGACGGTCACGTCCGAGCTGCTGCAGCTCGCCTTCGCGCAGAAGTCGCCCAAGGTGCAGGAGAGCGCGCTCTCCTGGCTCGCGCAGAACATCCGCGAGTTTGGCTTCACGTGAGTCACCGGGGCCGGGTCGGGGGCTGGTGTCGAGTGGTGGCGCCGTGGCGGGCGGGCGGCCGGCGGGAGACGGCGCCGCGTGCGAACGAAGCGCTGGCGTGTGTCGCAAGTGTGCTGGTAAGGCTTACGCGCTCGGCTGCGGTGTGCGGAAGGTCGTGGATTGTCGCCAGTCTCCTCGCCGTGCTCACCGTGCTGGACATCGACTATCATCCCCCACCCCTCTCCCTCCTCGCCCGGCTCTCCGCCGCCGCCGCGTCCAACCGACCGTCCGCCCGGCAGGCTGAAACCGAAGCCGATCGTGAACTACGTGCGCAAGGCGCTGGCGCACACCAACCCGGCCGTGCGCAACGCGGCCATCTCGCTGCTGGGCACCATGTACCTGTACATGGGCGCCACGCTGCGCGTCCTGTTCGAGGACGAGAAGTCGGCGCTGCTGCAGCAGATCGACGCTGAGTTCCAGCGGGTGAGTGGGGGGGGGGGGGGGGGGGGGGCGGGGAGGCGCGCACGGTGGGAACGTGTGAGCGTCGTGCGGTGGGGAGGGTGAATCATACTCATATGGACATGCTCACTACATGGATACTGGGTGTGTGGCGGTGAGAGGGAGAGTGATACGGCGTGGGACGGCCAGGCAGGCTTCACTCGTGTGGACTCGGTGGGAAGGGCTGAGTGCAGACATGGTGGGAGCGGGTGAGATGGCCGGACAGCGTGGGCGGTGCATGAGGTACTGCGGCGATCCAGGGCTCTGTGCATCTTCGTTGTGCCTATTCAATCGTGAGATACGCTGGTGTTGCAAGGCCGACTAGTGCTTTTGTGCGAAGTTCAAGCTTGTGATCACAGCAGAGTCAGGTGTTGTTTTATCGTGCTTTGACGGAAGCAGCTCGCGGTGTGTGGCTAACGGTCCCCACCCCCACCCCCACCCCCCCACGTGCATGTCTGGTTGTAGCGGACCACTAGACCTGGTGTGCTCTACCGTGTTTGCGCGCTACCATCTACTCCCGTTTCGACTTTTCGATCCGTACTGTTCCTGTCTGCGGCCGTCGCCGTCCGTCTGCGCCCGTCTCCCCGGTACGCTCCATCCCGCCCGGCTGGCTTTTCGGCCTGACCAGTGCCGTGACGTCAGCCTCCCGGTGTGTCCGCCAGGTGGCGGACGAGCAGCCGCCGGCGCCGACCCGCGGTCTGCGCGCGGCGCCGGACGCCGGCGGCGGCGGTGACGAGGAGGGCGGCGGCGGCCCGGCGCCGGCCGACGCGCCGGCCGAGGACCTGGTGCCGCGCACCGACATCGGCGACCGCGTCACCTCCGCCCTGCTCGCCGAGCTGGCCGACAAAAACTGGAAGGTGGGACGGGCTGCGGCTGGCGGCTGGTCGGAGGCAGCTGCTGAGTGCTGCTGCTCCCGGCGCTGTGGTGGGCGGGGTGGGGCACTGAACTGGGGACGGCCGCGAGGAGTACACGTGGGCAGAGAAGGGCGTTCGCCGTGCATCGAGATTGGAATGTGTGGCGGCGTTCATCAGAAGGGAGGTTGACGAGTACGAATTGTTTTATATGTTAGCTGTGTAACTGTATGTGATTGAGTATGAATTGGTGCCACAGGGCCGTCCTTGTCCCTGTGTTTGAGACACAAGCACATAGAACAAACTCATGCTCATAGACACTTACTCAGAGCACAAAGGCAGCGACGCGTTCGCACCGCCCGAACAGCACCGCGAAGGTGGGTAAAGGCGTGCGACGAGGCTGAGTGACCCCGTGCCCTCGTGGCAAAATGCGGTGTTACCTATCCAGGCGCTCGGATCTGTGACGGTGGCGCCCGGCGCCTGCCAGGTGCGGAACGAGGCGCTGCAGAAGGTGGCCGAGATTCTGCGCGAGGCCAAGTTCGTCACGCCCAACATCGGCGAGCTGGGCGCCGCGCTGGCGGCCCGCTGCGTCGACTCCAACAAGAATCTGTCGGCCGAGAGCGTGCGCGTGTGCGGCTGCCTGGGAACGGCGCTGGGGCCGCACTGCCGCGCCCACATCCGCACCGTGGTGCCCGGCCTGCTCTCGGCGCTCGGAGACAATAAGGTGGGCGGCGGGGATGGGTCTGGCGGGCGGATAGTGTCAGTCGGAGGGGGGGGGGGGGGAGGGCAGGTGAGGTGGTACCACCCGGGAAAGGTACCGGTAAGGAGGTGGTGCCAGCCGAGGGCGGCAGGTGAGAAGGTGGTGTCAGCTGTGTCACCCGATGGCGGCCGGCTGCGCGGCTCGCATTGTTGTGGCCGTTGCCAAGTTATTCACGGTAAGAAAGCCGAGAAGTGCGTGGTTAAGCCATTTTGACGGAATTAGTGCATTTGAATGCAAAAACGACTTATAGAAATATATAAATAACCGTAGTGTCTGGACATAATGGTCGCGTTTTCGTCCCGCCTGATGCACACACAGTTCTCTAGCGGAGCTTGGCCAGACTCGCTGCTGTGCCCGTCATGTTGTAGTCTGGTGGGTGGTGGCCTGACCTCCGCCCGTCCCTCCGCAGCCTAACATCCGCCAGGCGTCGCTGACGTCGCTGGGCACGTGGCTGGAGCAGACGAGCATGCGCGACTTCTGCGACGGCGAGATGCTGGCAGAGGCGCTGCGTACCGGCACGCCCAACACGCGCACCGAGCTGTTCGCCTGGCTGGCCGTTCAGATGAAGGACGGTCAGTGGAACGGGCCGCGGGCTGGTGTGGGAGGTGCCGGTGACGGATCTGGCGGGAGGGGACGCGAGACGCGTTGCGGCGATAGATAAGATGTTAGTTTTTGCCTCGTCTCAGATGTCGCCGTTTGGGCCGGCTGCCGTTGCATTCGAAGGCGGACCCAGTCGACACGAAGTGCTCGGCTGTTCATGTCAGATCCCTGTGGTGCACCCGGCGTCAGTAAAATGCGTGACGAATTCCAGCCCTCCTTTTACGCCATATCCTCGATGAGCGCTGTTTGTCTGGTGCCGTTCGCTTGTTATGCTGTCGTGTTGCCGTGCTGCCTGTTGCTGGGTTTGCGCCTTGTGTGGCGATGGCCGCCGTCCTCCGACTGGCTGACTTAGTGTGTGTCGCGGACCGCCCGACCTTTCCGTGTGGCCTCCTGACCGTGCCGGGGGTCGCCCTGACCGTGCTGTGCGGCCGCAGCCGGCCAGCTGCCGAAGGACGAGTTGATGGCGTGCCTGCCACACCTGTACACGGCGCTGGAGGACCGCACGGCCGAGGTGCGCCGCGCCGCCGGCGACGCCGTCCTCCCCTTCATGCTCCACCTCGGCTACGACTCCATGGCGCGCGCCGCCGGCAAGCTCAAGGTGCGGCCGGCGCCGGACCCGTGGGGGCCCGGCACGGGCGGGGGTCGCGCGGAGGACCCGGAATGGTGTGCTGGGAACGGGCTAGCTCAGCTACAGCGCGGTGCCTGTGGCCGCGCCTGGCTGGCTCGCGCTGGGAGTGCTGCCGGTTGTTTACGCCGGCTGCATCCTGCTCTCTGGCAGCCGCGTTTGTTTATGTGTCGCATTTTGTGGCGACCTGTGGCTGTGTACCGCGCTGCTAGGCATTGAGAATGTTCGGAGGCTGTTTTCTGAGCGCCCCTAATGGCTGAAGCCCCACAGCTGTCACCGCGAGCGACACCACCGCATGTCAGCCTTGAGCCGCTCGGCCTGGCCGCCGGATGTAGTGACGCTCTGGCCAGCGCGTGTGTGACCGTGGGCCGGTGCTGCCTCGGTTTGTGACCTACGCTCCGCCCGCAGCCGGCCTCCAAGACGTCGGTCATGGCGTCGCTGGACAAGGAGCGGCCGAATCTGCCGGCCAAGGCGCCGCCCAAGCCACGCGCGGCCGCCGCCGCCAAGACGGTGCGCTCGGGCGGCGCGCTGCGCGCGGGCCTCTCGCAGTCGCAGGACAGTCTGGACGAGGAGCCGGCCGCGCCGCCACCCACCAAGGCGGTGCGCGGTGGCAAGGCGGCCCGGCCTGGCTCCAAGACACGGGTGGGTGACGGGGGTTGCCCGCCGGCGGTAACAGCGCCTGGCCTGGGGTCGGAGAGAAAGTGACTTGTGAAGAGAGTGTGGAGAGTTACTTGGTGGTGCGTTTTTCTTTAGGGGGGAGGGGCGCCACGAGTCGATGGATAACTGGGACGTCTGCGCTGTCTAGATCAGTCTTATACTGCGGGCTGACGTGGCGTTTTGGCCCGGCCGTCAGCTGCAAAGTTCAACCCGTACAAAAGTGCAATCACTGCACCACCCACGTTCAGCAGTGCGCTGCCGTGTGAGGTGTGCATGTTTGTGTGTGTGTGTGTGTGTGTTTCGCTCGTCTATGTCCCGTGGCCCCGTCCACGGGCGCGGTCGCACCGCTCCGTCGACGTGAGGCCCAGGGGCGGCAGGTGACCCTCCGGCGCCGCTCGCAGGCGCCCGCTCGCGCCGGCAAGGACGACGACGCCGACCTGTCGCCCACGCTGCAGGTCAACAACCTGAAGCGCCAGCGCGTCCAGGACGAGGTCAAGCTTAAGGTACGTCGGGGGATGGGGTCACGCGAGGTGGCAGGCGCCGGGTCACGGTGTACAGACGTGCCGACTGGCGGAGCCCTGGACCGTGTGACTGCTGTGGGCTTGGGCGGGCGCTTGTCGGGATCGGTTGGCTGGCACGCGCCGGCCGCTGTCGCGTTTTGACCTGCCTGATGTGTGTTCCGTGCGTTGCAGTGCTTGAAGTGGAACTTCAGTACTCCGCGGCCAGAGTTCATAGAGCAGCTGAAGGACCAGATGACGAACGCTGGTGTCAACAAGGCGTTGATGACTCAGATGTTTCACGCTGATTTCAAACAGCACATCAAGGCCATCGACAGTCTGGCGGGGGTACGTTGGACCAGAGTGTCGCGAAGTGAGCCTGATCAAGGCCTACCTGGCACATTCGTTCGACCTGGACCCTGCTTCAGCTCTGCTGAGCTCCAGCGCGGCCCCTTTGTGGTTGCTACGGTATCCTTGTTTCCTGTAGTCACCTACTGGTGCGATCTTTTCTTTGTTTACTTCGTCCAGTTACCTGTGTACCATTGATGAGAACTTTGATGCGATGTGCATCGCGACGGCGGACTCGTCATCACGCCGGCCTCCCTGTGTGGCGTGTCTCGCCCGCCTGTCGGGCTGACGGCCCGCCCTCGCCGCCGCTGCAGTGCACCGACACCAGCTTCGAGGCCGTGTCGGCCAACCTGGACCTGCTGCTCAAGTGGATGACGTTGCGCTTCTTCGACACCAACCCCACCGTCATCATCAAGGGCCTGGAGATGCTGCACCAGATCTTCATGCGGCTGGCCGACGACGAGTACCGCCTGTTGGAGCAGGAGGCGTCCGCCTTCATCCCCTACTTGATCGTCAAGGTCAGTGGGACGTGGGGCAGAGCACTTAAACGAGGTCGATGCTGTGTTTTCGCGCGCAGTAGTGGGCTCTGTCGATGCAAATCAGACATGCGTGCAAGCGCCGTGGGCGTGTGTCACCCGGGCCTGGACTCGCCCTGACCCGTCTCCCCGCCGTGGGCGTGTGTCACCCGGCCCGAACTCGCCTGACCGTCTCGCGCCCCCCCTCCGTGGCTCTGTGTCACTTGGGCCTGGACTCGCCCTGACCCTCCCTCCCTCCGTGGGGGGCGTGTGTCACTCGGGCCTGGACTCGCCCTGACCCGTCTCCCCGCCGTGGGCGTGTGTCACTCGGGCCTGGACTCGCCCTGACCCGTCTCCCCGCCGTGGGCGTGTGTCACCCGGGCCTGGACTCGCCCTGACCCGTCTCCCCGCCGTGGGCGTGTGCCACCCGGGCCTGGACTCGCCCTGACCCGTCTCCCCGCCGTGGGCGTGTGCCACCCGGGCTCGGACTCGCCCTGACCCGTCTCCCCGCCGTGGGCGTGTGTCATCCGGGCCTGGACTCGCCCTGACCCGTCTCCCCGCCGTGGACGTGTGCCACCCGGGCCGGACTCGCCCTGACCCGTCTCCCCGCCGTGGGCGTGTGCCACCCGGGCCCGGACTCGCCCTGACCCGTCTCCCCGCTCGCAGCTGGGAGACCCGAAGGACACGATCCGTGCCTCGGTGCGCAACATCTTCCGCGAGCTCTACAAGATCTACCCGGCCAGCAAGGTGTTCCTCTATGTCATGGACGGCCTCAAGTCCAAGAACGGTCGCCAGAGAGCCGGTAAGCGCCGCTGCTGGGACGCGACCGGCGCCGGTTGGCACACGGCGCTGGTACCCCGACGGGCCGAGGAGTCCCCGCATTGTTGTCTGTTCCTGGGCTGGGACGGGTCGAAGAACAGCCCACCGCAGTCTGGGTTCGGTTAGTGATCTCACGGGTTTGTGGCCCGCACATCGGCCTACTGCACTTTCGCGACGATCCGTGTGGGACAGGTGCATGTGTTAACAATATTGGAGATGATGATCGCCGCTTATAATGGCGAATGTCGATGCGCGAAAAAAGCTACAACTGACCACAACGTCTGTTACATAGCCCTCCTTCCTCGACTCCCCTTTGGGTGCCGCCCCGCGTGAGACTGCTGCCAGCTGATGATCACTCACTCCCTGTCGCCTCCTTCCCTCTCCCCTGCGCCGCAGAGTGTCTGGAGGAGGTGGGCTACATGATCGAGAAGTGCGGCATGGGCGTGTGCCAGCCCGTCGGTGGGCGCCGCGCTCAAGGAGGTTGGCGCGCCAGATCGGCGACCGCGACAACACGGTGCGCAAGGCGGCGCTGAGCGCGCTCGTGCAGGCGCACTACCTCACCGGCGACAAGCTCTACAAGCTGGTGGGAAACGTGAGTGGCTGCCGCGTGACAGTGCCGGGTCCGCCCGGCGATGCACCGCGAGAGCACCTCTGCCGACCCCGCACTCCGAGAACGGCTGAGACGCGGGCGTGTGAGCGCTGCGGCTCTCACGCCTGTGTTGTGTGGTGTGTGCGGGTCGTGATATGTGCCGTGTCGCGCTTGTGTCAGTGTTGTGTGCGGGTTCGTGATATGTGTATTGTCGTGCTTGTGTCAGTATTGTGCGTGTCGTGATATGTGTTGTGTCACGCTCGTGTCAGTATTGTGCGTGTCGTGATATGTGTTGTGTCACGCTTGTGTCAGTATTGTGCGTGTCGTGATACGTGTTGTGTCACGCTTGTGTCAGTGTTGTGCGGGTCGTGATATGTTGT